CAACCGGATGCTTCCGCCGTTTCGCGGTCCCGCAATCCTGGTTTCCTCCTCCTCCTCCTCCTCGGGCATACTGGAAATCATGGACGAGGGCTACGGCTTCCTGCGGCAGATAAATTACCTGCCGGCCACAGGCGACGTCTACATCTCTCAGTCCCAGATTCGCCGGTTCGGTCTCCGCACCGGGGACACGGTAACCGGCCAGGTGCGTCCTCCCAAGGAGGGAGAACGCTATTTTGGCCTGGTGAGGGTAGAGAAGGTCAACGGGCTGGAAACGGACCAGGTTCACGCCAGGTACCGGGCCCAGTTCGAATACCTCACTCCCATCTTCCCGGAACAGCAGGTGGTCCTGGAGACCGACAGCGCCAATCTGTCTACCCGGATGGTTGACCTGTTTGCCCCCATTGGCCTAGGGCAACGGGGCCTGATTGTCTCACCCCCCAAGGCCGGAAAGACCACCATCCTCAAGCAGATCGCCCACAGCGTGTCGCTCAACAAGCCTGACGCTGTCCTGATGGTGGTACTTATCGGGGAACGGCCGGAGGAAGTAACGGACATGCGCCGGGCGGTGGATGGCGACGTCTTCGCTTCCACCTTTGACGAATCCGTGGAGGAGCAGTGCCGGGTGGCCGAACTGGCCTTGGAGCGGTCCAAGCGGCTGGTGGAAAACGGGCTGGACGTGGTCATCCTGCTCGACAGCGTCACCCGCCTTACCCGCGCCTATAATTTGGCGGTGCCCTCCAGCGGTCGCACCCTGTCTGGCGGTATTGACCCCGCGGCCCTTTACCCGCCCAAGAAGTTCTTCGGCGCAGCCCGGAACATCGAAGAGGGCGGCAGCCTGACCATCATTGGCACCTGCCTCGTGGATACGGGCAGCCGGATGGACGAGGTTATCTACGAGGAGTTCAAGGGTACCGGCAACATGGAACTGCACCTGGACCGTAAGCTGGCCGACCGCCGCTTCTTCCCGGCGGTGGATATTGTCCGCAGCGGAACCCGGCGGGAAGAGTTGCTGTACGACGAAAATACCATGAAGCAGATCTGGCTGCTGCGCCGGATGATTTCCCTTATCTCCAACGATGGCTCCACCAGTGCCACCGAGCGGGTGCTGGAAAGGTTGTCCAAGTACGCCAGCAACGAGGAATTCCTGGGCAACCTGAACAAAGAGACCTGACCAGCTACCTCCACCAAGACTCACCAAGACTCTTTTGGCGTGACCCTCTCTCCTTTGCGGGGAGAGGGTTTTTCCGTTATGTCGCGCTGCGTCAATGTTGTCAGGCTACCAAATGGTGGCAGATAATGTGCCACTCAAGGGCATGGTATCATTAACCAAAGAGATGAGGTAATTCACGACTTTCAGGGACAGCCCATAAGGCTGACCAATGAGCGGTGGCTGCACATCATTGATCCTGCCAGACACCACAGTTACATGGTGTCAATGCGGGAAGAGCTGGAGGAAACCCTCAAAGATCCCGACCTGGTATTCCAGTCTACCGTAAACCAGGAATTTGGCAGGATATATCACAAGTGGTATGAACAAACGGTCATAGGAAGCAAATGGGTCCGGGTGGTGGTATATTTTCTGGCTGATGGCGACGCCTTCGTGACGACTGCATATGTGGATGAGGAGGTTATTGCCGGGGAGGCCCTATGGAGCAAAGAAGGACAATAAATGTCTGGTTCGATCGACTAGGTGACTTCCTGGAAATATCGTGGGGGGGTGAATTGGGCTGTCAACAGCTATCAATTTCCCGATACGGACTATTGGTTTGAAGTTCGTCGGACCGAGGACTTGCAAGCCGTCGGTTTTCACGCAATCGGCGTCCTCCACTTCGCCAACAGATGCGATGATGATACAGTGCTGGTAGCCAATGTCCAGCCCCACCCTCTCACCGTCAAGTACGACCGTGCCACGGACTTGTGGGATGTCCAGTGGGGCCCTAATACGATTAACTGCATGGACACACCCCCAATCCCCGTATTAAGGCCAAGATAGATAACCAGGGCCAGATACAGGGTGTACTTATCTCTGACCTGCGGAACTTTGAGGATGAAATCCTTAACGAAAACCTGTACCAGGTGCAGCCCGCCACCCCCACCTCCTAGAGTTCAAAATTAGAGTGGGCGCACAAGCCGCAACATTATGGCCGACAGCAAGATACTGATAATCGACGACGAATGGGAATCGGCAATCGTCAAGGCGGTGCAGCGTCGCCTGGAGGACGAGGGCTGGCGCACCATTATCGTGCAGCCCCAGTCCAAGTGGCTGGTTGGTGACGAGTTTGAGAACGCCACCCTCTACGCCATAGAGGACGAACGTCCCGATGGCGTCCTCCTGGACGTCCGCCTGGGTGAGCACCGGGACGATCAGTTCAGGGGACTGGAGATTTTGCGCCAGATTGTGGAGCATTACCCCACCCTGCCGGTCTTGATGTTTACCCAGTACGCCCAGGGGCCGGCGCGGGACACGGCGGTTCGCGGCGCCCTGCGCTGGAACGCCCCGGTAGACTTCATAGACAAGCTGGCCAGCCCCGAAGAAGTGGTACTGCGCCTCCGGCGGCTGATGGGTTCCAGCCCCGAAATGATACCCATCGGCACCCACCTGATGGTGGATGTAGGCGCCGAGGCCGTCTCCGCTCGCCGGGAGCGGGACGGAGCGCTGCAACCGGTGGGCGATATTCACGGAATGAAATTCGAGATTTTCAGAGAACTTGCCGCTGCCTGGTATCGAAGCCCCGGCGAGTTGGTGCCATTCAGCCGCCTGGAACGCTACTCGGAAGGCGAAGAGGCCCGCGCATCCCTGCGGGTACGCATTCGAGAATCAAGGTTTCCGTAGGAAAGGCAGCTAGTACCCAAAGCTGCGTGCCAACGACTGATCGTGAAACGTGAGGGACCGGGGCTATCGGCTGACTCCCCCGCAACTGTGATACCGTGCTAATCCCGAATCTGAGACTGCCTCTCTCCTGGAGCGTCCTGCCAAAGACCCGTTTTCGTCCAGTGGGCCTTGGCGGCCTTGCCCGGCTCCTGGGCGTGCTGGTGTTGATATTTGGGTTGGGGAACTTGGCCACGGCGCCCCTGATCGGCGATGCCATGTTTGCCCGCCTCTGGGGCATTGAACCCCTGACCTACATCGGCGCGGCGCTGGCAATCCTGGGACTAGCCATCACGTCCCTTTCCTATCTGATATCCGAGATATTGCGGGGAAGGAGGCAAAAGGCCGAAGAGGACCAGCACTTCGCGGAACGGTGGACGCAGGTAACCCAGCAATACTTCGATCTTTTCAACCACGACCTGGGGCGCCCCCTGCGCCGCATCCTGGGCAAGGAAAGGGAGATCCGGGAGCAATTACAGGCGGCCGGCGCTGAAATTCCCGCCTCAGTTCGGGAATTGCTGGATGAGATGAGAAGAACAAACTCCCAGCTTCCGCCTGATGATGTCCAACATGCAGGTGCTCATCGAGCTGGAGACGCCCAACACCGGAAAAACGCTTCACGCGGTGGAACCGGCCGAGGTTGTGCGGCGTATAGTAGACCGTTACAGCCTGGTGGCCACTGACGCCAGCAAGCAGATTGTCTGGTGGTCGGAACCCACCGAGTTCGGCATAGTGTATTGCGACAGTTCCGCGGTAGAGCACATCGTGACCAACCTCGTGGACAACACGGTCAGATACGCCGAGTCTTTCACTGAAATCGGCTTGACCAGGGACGCCAGGAATTTCTACATCCGGGTTTGGGACGATGGCCCGGGCATAGCCGCCCGGTACCTGCCTTATTTGTTCGACCGCGGCTGGACACCGGAAGTAGCCCGGCGGGAAGAACGTACCAGTTCGGGCCTTGGCTTGTTCATAGCCCATACCCTGGCCAAGCGGTACGACGGCAACCTGACTGTGGAAAGCGTAGCCGCGCCAGACCCCGACCATCACACTTCGTTTACCGTTGCGCTGCCCCTTCAGAGCAAGCCTGCCGACCCACCGGGAGAGCCACCGGCATGACCTTTCCTTCCGGCGGCAACCGGTCGCTGCCAACCAGGGCTTCCGCTACCCATTTCCTGATATCATTGCTATCCGTCCTTATCCTGGCCGGCGCGGTAGGTTGTGTCACTGTATTTGACCGCCCGGGGACTGAACCACCTTTCCCAACGGTAACTCCAACACACCAGGTTAGCGCTCCACCTTCTCTTGTGCCGACGCCCCAACCCACGCCGAAGCCGCTGCCAACCCCAACACCGGTTCCAACACCGGTTCCGACTCCGACTCCAGAGCCGGAGCCGACACCCATTCCCACGCCTGCTCCCACGCCCACCGTTACGCCTACGGCCACGACGTTGCCAACACCCACGCCTACGGTTACACCCACCCCGCTGCCAACGGCCACGCCAGAGCCTGTCGCTGAACCTACGGCAGATCCCATGGCCGGTGGGCCAATCCTGATTATTGAGTCGCCGCTGGACCGAAGCATCATTCGGGAGGAGTCGGTGATAATCCAGGGGGTTACCAGCATAGGAGCATCAGTTAGCGTAAGGGGCAGAGCGGTGGCCGCCGGCGGGGATGGACGCTTCCGCCTGTCCGTTCCCCTGGCCCCGGGCGTAAACGTCCTGGACATATTTGCCATCAGCCCCGACGGGCGCAGGACAGGGAAGACTCTGACCCTCACCTACTGGCCCCTGGAGCCTTTCTTCCTGACAATTACCCAGCCTGACGAGCAGGACCGGAAGGTAACCAGTCCCACTATCCGGCTGTGGGGCAGGACCGCGTCCGATGCCACAGTGACGGTGAATGGCATTGCCATTCCCGTGGACCAGTTGGGGATATTCGCCACTACCATAACACTGCAGACCGGCCTTAACACCATCAACGTTATTGCCACCAACCCCATGGGAGACACTTTGCAGCAAGCCATTGATGTTACCTACGAGGAGCCCCAGCCCTAGCCTGACTACCTGTTTTCCATTCGCTAATGCACCGGCATAGGCACGAATGTCTGAAGGCTTAACTCCTAAGGAGGAATCATGAGAAGAAGCGATTCCAGGATTCTCACCACCCACACCGGCAGCCTGCCCCGGTCGACCAAACTCCAGGAACTCCTGCGCGAGCGTGAAGAGCAGGCCGGGTTTGACCCGAAACGGCTTGCCGCCGGGGTGCGCGAAGGGGTTTCCAAGGTCGTCAACCGGCAGCAGCGCACCGGCATTGACGTGGTAAACGACGGCGAGCAGGGCCGCTCGCAATACGCCACTTACGTTAAGGAGCGGCTTACCGGCTTCGAGGGCGACCGGATGGTGCGGCGGCGCCCCCGCCTTGACGATGACGACTTCTCCCAGTTCGCCGAAACCCAGACCCATATGTCCTCGCGCAACATGCCTCAGCCGGCCTGTACCGGCCCCATTGGCTGGAAGGACTGGCCGGCCGGTGGAGCGAGACATTGAGACTCTTAGAGTGGCGGCGGCGGATGCCACGGTGGAAGAGGTATTCATGACCGCTGCGTCGCCCGGGGTCATCGCCAACTTCCTGCCCAACGAGTATTACCCCACTGAAGAGGCCTATCTCTACGCCCTGGCCGAGGTGATGAAGGACGAGTACGACGCCATCGCCAACTCGGGCCTCCTGCTGCAAATTGACTGTCCCGACCTGGCCATAACCCGCGTTTCCCAGTTCTCCCACCTGTCCGAGGAAGAATTCAAAAAGGTGGTGGAACTGCACGTCGAAGTGATCAACTACGCGCTCAAGGACATCGACCCGGAGCGGATGCGGCTGCACCTGTGCTGGGGAAACACCGAGGGGCCGCACCACCACGACATCCCCCTCAGTCAGATAGTGGACATAGTGCTGCAGGCGAGGCCCCTGGGCTTGTCCTTCGAAGGCGCCAACCCCCGGCACGCCCACGAGTGGAAAGTGTGGCAGGACGTAACCCTGCCCGAGGGCAAACTGCTGATTCCCGGGGTGCTGGACACCACGACCAACTTCATTGAGCACCCGGAACTTATCGCCCAGCGCATCGCCAACTACGCCAATGCCGTAGGGCGGGAAAACGTAATGGCCAGCAGCGACTGCGGTTTCGGCACGTCGGCCTGGGGTCGCAAGGTGGAAACAAACATAGCCTGGGCCAAGCTGGCCTCAATGGTAGAAGGGGCGCGGCTGGCGTCTCAGGAGTTGTGGTAGGAACCGAATCAGCACGACTATAGAGGCTTGTCGCTACAGTACCGCCAATTGATAATAGCTGGCTGGTGGACGTATAATACCGTCGGAACACTATTGAACTTATAGCAGACACTATCCCCATTTGGAGGATATTGGAAATGGTTGACATTCTAACCGGTACCTTTACGGTCAAAGCTGGGCACGCCCAAATGCTGAAGGGCGGTGTAATCATGGACGTGGTTAACGTCGAACAGGCCAAGATCGCCGCGGAGGCGGGGGCTGTGGCCGTTATGGCCCTGGAACGGGTGCCCGCCGACATCCGCGCCGACGGCGGCGTTGCCCGCATGACCGACCCCGCAATCATTCAGGGAATTATGGACGCCGTGAGCATTCCCGTAATGGCCAAGTGCCGCATCGGCCACTTCGTTGAGGCCCAGGTGCTGGAAGCCATCGGAATCGACTACATTGATGAATCCGAGGTGCTGACCCCGGCAGACGAGACGCACCACGTCTGGAAGCATGACTTCCAGGTCCCCTTTGTCTGCGGGTGTCGCGACCTGGGCGAGGCCCTGCGCCGCATTTCCGAGGGCGCAGCCATGATCCGCACCAAGGGCGAAGCCGGTACCGGCGACGTGGTGGAGGCGGTGCGGCACATGCGGGCGGTGCAGGACGCCATCCGGAAGCTGAAGAATATGCCCGAGGACGAACTGGTGGTGGAAGCCCGAAACCTGGGCGTCAGCCTGGAGTTGCTGACCCAGACCCGCGAGATGGGCCGCATGCCGGTAGTGAACTTTGCCGCCGGTGGCGTTGCCACCCCGGCCGACGCCGCCTTGATGATGCAGTTGGGCGCCGACGGCGTGTTCGTGGGTTCCGGCATTTTCAAGTCAGGCAACCCGGTCGAAAGGGGCTACGCCATTGTACAGGCCGTTACCCACTACAACGACCCGAAGATTCTGGCCGACGTTTCCAAGGACCTGGGAGAGCCGATGGTAGGCATCAGCACCCGATCCATTCCGGAAGACCAGTTGCTGGCTCCCCGCAGCATTTAACCCTTCACAAGACCCCGGAAGAGAAGGGCATAGGCAGTTGGAATACCTCAGTGGCGTCCTTCTCTGGGTGAAGAGAGGATCCCGCCCTGTCCTCCAGGCAAATCAGGACAGACACGAAGGGCAAAAATCGACCGTCGGACAGAATTGCATTGAAAATCGGGGTACTAGCCGTACAGGGTGACTTTGCCGAGCACATTGCCGTTTTACGGCGGCTCAACGTTGAATGCCGGGAAGTCCGGTTGCCGGAGCACCTTGAAGGTATCGACGGCCTGATTGTCCCCGGAGGCGAAAGCACCACCCTCAGCCGGTTGATGAGCATCTATCACCTGCGGGAGCCTGTGGTTGCCATGGCGCAGGCTGGCAAGGCCGTGTGGGGCACCTGCGCCGGTATGATAATGCTGGCCCACGAAATCACCGAAGCCGACCCCGTTCCCCTGAAGATTATGGACATTGGCGTGCAGCGTAACGCCTTCGGCCGCCAGATTGACAGCTTCGAACAGGACCTGGATATTCGAGGGTTGGAGCCGGGCCCATTTCACGCCATATTCATCCGAGCTCCGGTGGTCAATCGCCTGGGGGCCCAGGTCAAGACTCTGGCAGCCCTGCCCAACGGCCAGGCCGTAGCGGTGCGGCAGGGAAACCTGATGGCAACGGCATTCCATCCCGAACTGACCGACGATACCCGTTTGCACCAGTATTTCCTGGATCTGGCTTCCAGGTCCGAGGCGGCCTCACCCCCCGGTGGGGAAGGCTGATAACCTTACATGGCGCCGTTGGATCAAATGCAGAACGTCCAATCCTTCCGCATAACCGACGCCTTGCGCTGCACCCTGCTCAACGCGCCCAGGGGGCCGAACCTGGCTTGTCCTCGCCCAACCGTGGCCGGCAGCGACCGGCCATACATGCAGAGCGCCCGACTGTGGCGAAATGCAGTAATGCAGCCCAGAAACCGGCTGGCCGTGGCTCATTGGCAGGGTGCTCGGCTGACCGGGTTAGTCTCTGCCCGTACCCGGGCCGGACACCGGGCGTGGGATATAGACGGCCTTTACCTCCCGGCGGAAAACTTAACGGAACGCCCCTGCAGCTACAACGACAATGGCTTTCCAGCCAGTGACGCAACGGGACATCATGGATTGGACGAGGCCGCAACAGATTCCCTGTCATTGCTTGAAGAGTTGTTCCAGTCGGCAGGGGAACGTTCCGCCGAGCGTATATTTGTAAGATTAGCTTCGAACTGTCCCGCCATTTCACTGGCCAGGCGTAGCGGTTTTGTAGCCTGTTTTAGCGAGTCGCTGCTGGAAGGCGCTGGCCCCGGAATAGGCAACGGTTCAGCGTCCCCGCCAAAGAGGTCCAATTCCGACGACCTGATGCGGCTCCGGTTGCCCGCCGACAATTACGGCCTGTTCCAACTGTATTGCGCCAGTACGCCGGTAAGGGTCCGGCAAATGCTGTGGCTCACCTTCGATCAGTGGCTGGATGCGCGGGACGCAGATTGCAGCCGGCTGGCAGCGGGCCGGCATCAGGAGTGGGTCGCCGAGCATAAGGACAGAATAATTGGCTGGGTCAAGGTAACAGGCAGGGGTGGAACCTCAGAAGCGGAAGTGATGGCCCATCCGGACCGCCCCGATCTACTGTTTGAGTTGATAGACTTTGCCCTGGCCCGCGCGCCGCGTCTGCGGTGGCTGGTGCCTGACTACCAGGGACCGGTCAGCGACAGGCTGGCGGCTCGAGGCTTCCGGCAAGTAGCCGACTTTACGATGCTGGTCAAAATGGTGGCCGTTCCGGCTGTGCGTTACGGAATGGCAACGGTGGAGGCGTGAATTGGTAGCAGCGCAAGAACTGGTCCAGGCGGAAATGGAGCGCCTGCTGGACATCCTGCCCCCTCGCGTTAAGAGCAGCCTGCTGACCCAGGAGAATCTGGCCGACCTGCTGGAGGTAGTGCTGGACTTGGGCCGCCTGCCCGAAGCGCGTTTTCCTGCCGGGGACGTGCTTCTGGACGATGAGGAGGTAAGCCGGGACGACCTGGACTACTTGATAGAGCAGATAGGCGATTTCGGCGACGACAACCGGGCCGGAATGGAGCGGACGCTGCACCGTATTTCCGCCATCCGGAACCGCAGGGGCCAGGTGGTGGGCATAACCTGCCGCGCCGGCCGTGCCGTGTTTGGCACCATCAAGATTATCGAGGACCTGGCTTTCGCCAACAAGAACATCCTGCTGCTGGGGCGGCCCGGCGTGGGCAAGACCACCATGCTGCGGGAGGTGGCCCGTGTGCTGGCCGACAGCGCCCGCAAGCGGGTGGTTATTGTAGATACCTCCAACGAGATTGCCGGCGACGGCGACGTGCCCCATCCGGCCATCGGACACGCCCGCCGGATGCAGGTCGCCACGCCCACCAGGCAGCACGGGGTGATGATCGAAGCGGTGGAAAACCACATGCCCCAGGTCATCATCATTGACGAGATGGGCACCGAGGAAGAGGCCGCCGCCGCCCGCACTATCGCCGAGCGAGGCGTTCAGCTTATCGCCACCGCCCACGGCAACACCCTGGACAACCTCATCCTCAATCCCACCCTTTCGGACCTGGTGGGAGGAATACAGTCGGTGACCCTGGGAGACCAGGAAGCCCGTTACCGAGGCACTCAAAAGACAGTTCTGGAACGCAAGGCCCCGCCCACCTTTGACGTAGTTGTTGAAATCCAAAGCTGGGAACAGGTTGCGGTACACGACGGCGTTGCGCAGGTAGTGGACCAGTGGCTGCGCGGTTATCCCATTGCGCCGGTAATTCGCAGTTTGGACGATGGCGGCGAGGTTATCGAGCAGCAGGGCGACCCGCGTCCCAACTCCAACCCTCCAGCCCCCTGGACCCAGGAGTTAAACGGCAGGAACCAGGAATACGGCCAGGGCGGTCGCCGCCCGGACCGGCGCCAGGGAAGGCAGCAGGACCGGTATCAAGAACGACACCAGGTACAACACCAGGAACGGCAGTCTGGCCAGGTTCCCGCGCCTCAGACGCGCTTCCAGGCAAGTTACCTGGATGACGCTGTCAACGGAGAGGCGGCTGTCGGCACGGACTCAGGCGAGCGGACAGACTCAACCGACGAGAACGGCGCCCGCAAGCTGGAAGCCCAGGTGTTCCTCTTCGGGGTTAGCAAGGACAAACTGGAGGTTGCCCAGTCGGAAATGGGGCTAACCCTGGGCGTCGTCAACGAGTTGCGCCGGGCTTCCCTCGTACTGACCACCAAAACCCATTATCGCCGGGGCGCCCAGTTGGTGCGGTCGGCAGAGTCCACGGGCACACCCGTCTATGTGTTGCGCAAGAACACTCTGCCCCAGTTGATGGACTTCCTGCGCGCGCTGGCCAAGGAGCAGGGAATACCGTTTAGAGGCATGGGACGGGCCCGGGAAGACCACGCCTCCAAGGAAACCCTGGATCAGGCCATGCTGGAGGCCGAAGAGGCGGCGCAGCGAGTACTGGGCGGCGAGTTCAGCGTTCAGCTAAACCCGCAACGGGCCTACGTCCGTCGGTTGCAGCACCTGTTGGCCCAGCGATTCAACCTGGCCTCAACCAGCCGGGGACGGGAGCCTGAACGATCGGTGCTCCTTTACAGACCGTAGGCTGACCCAGGGTAATCCCCCAATGGGGACGAATGTTCACAAGTGATGGCCTGAATCTATACTGATCAGGCCATTCTCTTTGGAATCCAAAATTGTCTCACCACGTTGACTGACCACATTTGTGGCCCAGGATGTGTAATCGTGGATAAAGGGATACAATTGTATCCAGAGGTGGCCAGTGGCAGGACTTTTCATAGCATTTGAGGGTGGAGAAGGGGCCGGGAAGACGACCCAGGCCTCGCTGTTGCGGGACAGACTGGAAGCGTCTTCCGTTCCCTGTGAACTTTTTCGAGAACCCGGCGGTACCGTGCTTGGTGAATACCTGCGAACTTATCTCAAGAGCCACCGTCCCACGACACCGGAAGCTGAATTACTAATGTTTGAGGCCGCCCGCACACAACTAGTTGTCGAAAAGATTCAGCCAGCTCTGGAAAATGGAAAAACGGTAATAGCCGACAGGTTCTCCGCCTCAACAGTTTCATATCAAGGTCATGGCAGAGGCATTGACCTAGGGGTGGTAACTGCCCTGAACGGTTTCGCCACCCAAGGGATAACTCCTGACCTAATTTTCCTGTTGGACGTGGCTCCTGTGGTCGGCCTCAGCCGCTCAACCGGAGGGCTTCAACTGCCCTTTGAAATGGACTGGGCTGCTAGTATCTCTCCAATTAAGCGAAAGGTCGATGATAGAAGATTTGAGGACCTGGACCTCTTCTTTCATGAGAGAGTACGTCAGGGCTTCCTCGCACAAGCCGGCGCCAATTCCCAACAGTGGGTGGTCATAGACGCTGCGCTCAGTCTAGAAGAAGTCACAGAGAGAGTTTGGGAGAATGTACAGCACCTGATCACTCCTGTCGTCCGTCCTATCAAAGCAACTCCCGCTCAACCAATACCCCAAGCTGAGCTGTGGTCGGAAACAGTTGAGGCCGCACCAACCAGGCAATAGGGTAGGGCCAGACTTCTACGCCATCAAAAGAACAACCCCTCTACCTAGGTAGAGGGGTTGCATTTTATCTAACCGTTAAGCCGGTTGCCGAGGCGTACCGGCGCAAATAAAGCTAATTATCGGCTGGGACAGCTTCCGCACTAGCGACCCGCTCGGTGATTACTTCCTTCATTTTGCGGACCCGCGCGAGGTCGGGGTAGATATTACCTTCGGCCTTCTTGTCGAAGATCTTCTCGCCGTCTACAAACACTTCCATGATGCCCTGGCCGCGCGGGGAGATGGTTATCGCCGCATCCGGTCCATAGGTTCGGAAGAATTCATTCGCCATCCACGTGGCGGTAGCATGGTGCTGTCAAGGAACGCAGTAGGTAATCTCTATCTGGACTTTTCCTTCCATAGGGCCCTCCTAATGTAACTACGGTCTAGAGTTCCATTTAGTTTAGACTATTTTCTTCACATGTCAATACCAAATTTCCTTTATACCCATTAGTTAACAAATAGTTTACATTTATAACTGCTATTCTGTTGAAATAAGGTCAGAACTCCGCCTTACGCTTCTCTTTGAAAGCCTGAATCCCTTCCCGGGGATGGGGCGATGTGGCGAAATACTGCACAAAAGCCATGCCTTCCCGGTCGATTCCCGCCCGGACGGGCAGGTCCTGTCCCTGCCGGGTAATTGACTTAATCCAGCCCAACCCGGTACGGCTCTTGCCACGAAGCTGCCCCAGCAACGTTTCAAGTTCAGCTTCCAGGGACTCCTCAGGAACGGCACGGAGCACCAGTCCCCACTCTGCCGCCTCACTCCCCGAGAGCCAGCGCCCAGTGGTCAACAATTCCATGGCCCGCTGCATGCCAATGCGACGGGGCAGCCGTTGGGTGGAACCGCCACCAGGCATCAGCCCAAAGTTGGCGTGCTGGTCGCCGATGCGGGCGTCCTCAGCGGCCAGGGTCAGGTCGCAGGCCAGCGCCAGTTCCAGGCCCCCGGCCAGGGCGAAGCCATGCACCGCGGCGATGGTGGGTATGGGCAGGTTCTCCAGTTGGAAGAAGCAATCGTTGAGCAACCGAACGTAGGGCGGCAACAGGGAGATTTCGTCGAAAACGGTATCGAAAAAGAGGAGATCTGCCCCCGCGCAGAAGGCCCGTCCTTCCCCCCGGACAACCAGTGCTTTGATAGTTTCGTTCTGACCTACAGAAGCCACGGCATCGGAAAACTCGGCCAGCAGTTCCATGCTCAAAGCGTTTAGAGCATCGGGGCGGTTAAGGCGTAAGGTGGCGACGGAATCCGCAATATCAAGAATGATGTTGGTGTATTCCAAGGCAGGCCTCACGGGGTCAGGTTGGTGGCTGAAAGTGAGCCGGGCCAGTATAGCACGGCTTGGTTTACGTATATGGCAACATACCCCCTGGTAAGGACCATCACGTTAGCAGAAGTTCCAATGCCAATACCAGGGCGCACACGCAGGTGCTCCCCTGCCATTTCTACCTTCTGTAGGGGCAGACCTATGTGTGTGCCCTGGCCAGAGTGCAAGAATCACACAATTCTCCCTCCATTCCCTGTCTGCTATAATGCGGGGCCAGCATGTCATACCTGCCCGGCCTTTATCGGGGGCCGGAGCGTTAAGGGGGAATCCCGCATGGACTTGGAACTCAAGGGTAAAGTTGCAATCATTGGCGGCGCCAGCGCAGGTCTGGGCAGGGCGTGCGCCGACGTGCTGGCGGAAGAAGGCGCACGGCTGGCCATTTGCAGCCGCACCGCCGCTAATTTGGAGCGGGCGGCAGCGGAAATACGGGACACCACGGGGGCCGAGGTGCTGCCCATAGCCGCTGACCTGGAGAGCTACGACAACATCAAGGACCTGGTGGCCGCCACCGTCAGCCACTACGGCCAACTGGACATCATGATCAACAACTCAGGAGGGCCGCCCCTGGCCCGCTCCGAGACAGCCACCGAGGAGCAGTGGGATACGGCGGTGCAGCGCTCCCTTTACTTCTTCTCCCGCATGTCCCGGGAGGCCATCCCCCACCTGAAGGCCCAGGGCGGCGGCCGCATCATCAACATCCTGGCCAGCACCGTTTACCAGCCCATCCCCAACTTGGCCCTGTCCGGCGCCACCCGAATGGGCGTGGTGGCCTACATGAAGAGCCTGGCCGACGAGGTGGGACGGGAAGGCATACTGGTCAACAACATAGCCCCGGGTTCCATCCTCAGCGAGCGGATGCTTTCCAACGTAACCAGCCGGGCGCAGGAACTGGGAATCTCCGTGGAAGAGGGCCTGGCGGAGCGCGCCAAGGAAACAGCGGTGGGCCGCATCGGCGAACCCAAGGAACTGGCCTACTTGGCCGCCTTCCTGGCCTCGGGCAAGTCCAGCTACATCACCGGCACCACCATCCTGGTGGACGGCGGGCTGGTAAGGTCGGTAATTTAGTCCTGCTGCCCGTTCACAAGGCGCCGTAGATCAGATTCCAGAAAGGACCCGGGTGAAGCCTTTAGCATGAGACCAAACTTAACCCCGCCGGAGGAACCCACCGACGCCGAGGGCTATAATCGGCGGGGCAACCAGTACAGCCGTAACGGCGCCTACGAACAGGCCATAGCCGACTACACCAGTGCCCTGGAGTTGGACGGAACCCTGGCCGACGCCTGGTTCAACCGGGGCGTCTCTTTCTACGAAATGGGAATGTACGACGAGTCCACCGCCGACTTGACTCGGGCCATTGAGTTGAACCCGAAGGAAGACAACTACTACGGCCGCCGATCCCTGGCCTACCTCTTCAGCGACCGCCTGGAAGAGGCGGAGGCTGACCAAGACATTTGCGACGAGATAAGGAACCTGGGGTAAGTGGCAAATAATCAACGCCTCAAGGCAACGCAATCCTAGGCGGAGCCCCCGTCTCTGGGCGAAACGCCTCGTCATTCTGCCCTTTATCCTCTTCCTGCCATTCTGAGCGAAGCCCCCGTCATTCTGAGCGAAGTCGAAGAATCTAAAAATTGACCTTTAAACCCCCTTATGGTCCTGTAACGGGGTCGAAGGGAAGGTGTTTGGGCTCTTCGGCAAGCTCAAGGTGACATGCAAGCAGGTGCGGTTGACTTGCGACTGATAAGACGCGATTGCCCTTACCCCTTGCTCAGGTAATACCTGGCTTTCGCGCCCCGGCCGACCGCCAAGGGGACGGTGTGACGGCACGGCATCCGGGATGACTGTCATCGGCCTGCGGGAGTTAACGACCGCAGTTCTACGCGGCTGGCTACCAGGAGTCCTGGGCTACACCTACGCGGCCGCACCTCCCGCGGTGTCCGCTGTTAAAGTAAGGGGTGGCTGGAAGTCCTCACATTTTGTCGCTCAATAGACATTTCTCATGCCTATGTGTGGTATCGGCAGGTGTACAGGCCGGCTGGCCAGCCTCCGCGTAACGGCAGCATTCCGCCATCCGGGGCCGTGTGGTAGACTGCCATCGCTTCTCCAATGTAATCCTTCAGGAGTTACGCCCATGATTATCGACACCCACACCCACGTGGTCAGCAGCGACAAGGTCAAGCATCCACTGGACCCCGGAGCGCGGGGATGGTCCACCGAGGTCAGCAACGACGTCGAAGACCTGATTGCGGAAATGGATGCGGCCGGCGTGGACTGTGCCACGTTAGTGCAGCCCAACGCTACCTATGGCCTGGATAACTCCTACCAGTGTGACAGCGCCCAGGACTATGCTCCCCGCACCGTGTCCGTGGGGATCCTGGACCCGGCTGCGCCCGATGCCGCGGACAAACTGTCTTATTGGGTGAACGAGCGGGGCATGGTGGGGGTGCGCCTCCAGAGTCAGGCCGAACCCGACGACCCCAGCTGCGATTCTCTCTGGGAGCGGGCCGAAGCCCTGGGCATTCCCATTTCCATCGGTGGCGGCGGCCAGCCGGACAAGGTTGACCGGATGCGGAACGTGGGAGCCCGCCACCCCAACGTCCTCTTTGCTCCGGACCACTTCGCGGGCTGGAGCGGCGCCGGGGACAAGGACGCCATGACGACTGCCCTGGAAGAGTTGGCCAGGCTGCCCAACGCCCACCTGCGCATCTCCAGCACCAGCCTCGGCCCTTATGCCGACCTGACCCCGCCCGAGCAGGAACTCTTCAGGCGCGTCATTGAGGCCTTCACACCGCAGCGCGTCATGTGGGGCTCCAACTTCCCCTCCACCCGTGAGGGCGGTTACATCGGCCAGGTGCAGTTGGGCCAGACGGCCCTGCCCTGGCTTTCCGACGAAGACCGCAACTGGATTATGGGCGAGACTGCCCACAAGCTGTGGCCGATGCTGCAAGGGCCAACCCGGGGGTAAATGACGGCCTTATCACCCTGGGGTCCGTGGACGGCCATGAGGACGCGGAGGCTGCGGGTGTCTACCTCAGAGTTTCTGCTGCACCGGGTGTAACGTCAGGGCAGGGGCGGTTGATTGACTGCCTCTGCCCTGATTGCATTCCCTCTTTGTGTACATGCCTCCAACTTGATCGCATTCCCTTTTTAGGATGGGTGGACAGAATAGTCAGCCGTTAGGATGTGAGATAAGGAAGTATGACGACCACCTCCGGGACAAGGAAGTCAGAAAGTTGGATATGGCTAGTATTCAGTCAAAGTAGCAGTGTCAGGATATAGCCTGCGGAGTTTGGTTCTGGCCTTTCTGGTGGGGTAAATCGCCAATTGATCGGGGATGCCACCGCGTTGCGCTCTGACACGTTGGCATTCACCGCCCTCTCCAGGCTGTCCTGGTCGGGGTTGCGTCCCCGCAGGCAGGCCCGGGCCAGGACGCTGAACTCCATCTCCGCCATATTCAGCCAGCTCCCGTGCTTGGGCGTGTAGTGGAACTCCAGTCGCTGGGCGATGCGCCGAGCCTCCGCCGGCGGGAAAGCCTCATAGAGCGACGCCGTCCGATGCGTGTTCAAATTGTCCAGCACCACTCGGACCACCGGTACGTCTGGGTAGGCTTGGTCCACCAGCCAGCGCATCTGAAGGGCGAAGTCCTGCATGGTACGCTGCCTGGTGATAGCCACGTGGCGCCAGCCAGCCCTGGGCTCGCAGGTGAGGAACAGGTTGCGGGTTCCGCCCCTCACGTACTCGTAGTCCTCTCGCCTGGGGCGTCCCGGGGCCGCTGGCAGGGACGGACGGGAATCGGCCAGCAACTGGGTGGAACTCTCGTCGAAGCAGACCACCGGCCGCTGGGGATCGTAGGGCTCGGCGTACAAGTCCAGGACATCCTCCATGTGGGCCACGAAGTCGGAACTCACCTTGGGGATGCACCACTGCTGCTTCTGCCACGGCTTGAGCGCGTTTTTTTTCAAGTGTAGCCGCACCGTCTCGTGGGACAAAGACTCCACCAGACCCAGTTCCACCGTCTTCCCCGCCAGAAGTCGCAGGGTCCAGTGGTCGTGGCCCTGGGGCGCTGGGCTGCAGGCCAGGGCAATCAGATGAGCTTCCCCACGTTCGTCCAGCTTCCGGTACCGGTTGACCTGGTTGCGCCGGTGCAGCGTTTCCTCCAACCCCTCTTGCGCATACCGCTTCCTGGCTCGTATTACCGTCCGCTCCGAGATGTCCAGGGCCGTTGCTACTTGGGCAGCCGTCCAGCCCTCATCCACCTTCAGCAGAATGCGTGCCCGGGTGATCGCCTGGGCCGAACTCCGGCCCGACCGGACCACTTTCCGCAGATGACCCTTTTCCTCTGATGAGAGCCTGACCTCATACTTCTTCTGCACCATGGACCCCTCACCTCCCACTACACTTACCCGCGTACCTTATAACTGCTACCACTGCTCTCTGCTATTGCTATGCCTGACAGTTCTCCCTTGACTAACTACTAGAATGTTTGTAGGGACAGTGTGACATCGTAGTGCTTTACTGGGACATTACGGTGGTCGGAACTGAGACCCTCCATGGATATGCCGGGCCAGGCGCTTGTCCTGGAGTTGTTGGGGATAGGCTCGTGGCCCAAGTTTGGGAAGGAGGATGAATCCTAGATGGGACAGGGAGCCTTTTCAAAATATGATGCAATACGGGGCACACTCTCCAAAACTCTCTTTGTCTCAGATCTGGACGGGACGCTTCTTACCAGTGAGAAAGTGTTGCCGGACGGGCAGACTGCAACGCTAAACCATATAATCGACCACGGTCTCCAGTTCACCGTGGCTACGGCACGCAGTATCCAAGCAATCAATGCTCTGCTGAAAGACCTACACCTTTCTCTGCCGGCCATAACGCTTGGAGGGAGCCTCGTCACCTGGCCGACCTCGGGCGAACACCTGGTTACAAGGGTACTTTCACAATCTGCCGCCGAGGGTTTGTTGTCCCGGTTCTCCCAGCGGGGCATTTCCCCTTTTGTTGCTGCTATTGATGGACATCGGGATTGGGCGTTCCATTCGCATACTGCTTCTGCTGCTGCGGAGTGGTATGTTGATGAAAAGAGAGCTTACGGTGACCCGCGGCTTTGCTGGTACGACCAGCCGTCGGATGTTCCAGGCACGGGCATTTTGTCAATGACCACTTTTGTGGAACAGGAGGCACTGAACGAACTTACGGAAGATATACTGCAGGTTGAAGGCGCCAGGGTCAGTTCGATGCCGGCACGCCAATTCCCGGGTTGGTACGAGGTTACCGCTTCACACCCCAAGGCAGACAAAGGATCTGCCGTTGACGGTCTTTGCCAAGCGTTGAACTCCAGGTGGGACCGTGTCGTTGCTTTCGGTGACGATGTCAACGATCTTGCCCTGTTCGAGCAGGCCGATTATGCGATAGCAGTGTCGAACGCCGCCCCGGAGGTGCTGACCAAGGCTAACCAGGTTATTCAGAGCAACGACTCAGGGTCTGTGATCGACTACTTGGCTCAGTACTTCATTCGCAAGACTAAGTTCTGATTTGCCCACGGAACCTGTTCCGGCGGCAGTACGAGGTTTGTGGGATGTGGTCCTGCCCTTTTCTATGTACCAGCTATAGTGCGAGTTTTGCGGGTCAATCCTCCATCGGCGCCAACGTGGCAAACTCCCTGGGGGACAGGTTCCCCAAGGCGCTGTGGGGCCTCTCGCCTATGAAGCGTCTTTTCGAGGAGTCCGTATGCGCTGGCAGCGTCGCGGTGGACAGGACTAGCGTCTGCCCCTAAGGCCCACCGAAGGGCCGGCTGACCCGTATTGCTAATCTGAGGAAGGCCTGAACAAGTGGGGCTAATTTCGGTATTCTGAGCCAAGGCAGGGTCCCGGTTTCCGGCGCCATAGCTTGACGTTGACGAGCCGTATAACTATGCTCAAGTCCACAGAGGCGTCCCGCGTTGACGATGGCTTAAGAGCGGCGCGGGCACCATACCCAACCTGATTCGGAAAGGAATTGCGACATGAAAGTGCAGATAATGTCTCCCGCTGCCGACCGGGTGGACTTCAAGGTGCCGCCCGCTCCCAGGCTTACGACCTTTGAGGGCAAGACCATCGGTCTGTACAACAACATGACCGGCGGGGCCGACGTTGCCGTTGACCGCTTCGCCGAGCAGTTGCAGCAACGGTATCCCAGCGTCAAGTTCCAGCGCTACGGCGGAGACCTGCGCGAAGGCCGTCCGGTACTTAGCCGAGGCGTTCACATTGATGACGAGGAGGCCGCCCGCATTGCCACAGAGGTTGACGCCATGGTGGGCGCGACGGCGCATTGAGGGGGCTGCACGTCGTGGCTTAGCCATGACATGGTCGCCATGGAGAAGGCTGGCATTCCCGCCGTGGCCATCGCCGCCCAGAGCTTTGCCCGGGCGTGGCAGTCCTGCGTGGACGGATGGGGTCAGCCCACCACCGCCTATGTCATCATTCCCCACGCCACCACCGGGCAGCAACCCGACTTCATTCGCAACATGGTGGACGGGCAGATTGACGCCATAATCCAGGGCCTGACCACCTTCCCGGCCTCCCGCGGGCCGGTGACCGCCCAGAAGACCGGCGGCGCCACCGAGGTCTTCACCGTGGAGATGGACGCATCCCCGGATGGGCTGGACGCGGTAAACCGATTCCTGGCCGAACGGGACTGGAGCGACGGCATTCCGGTCATTCCCCCCACGCCGGAGTTGGTGGAGAGAATGCTGGCCGGCACCAGCAGGAGTCCCCAGGACGTGCTGATGGTGATGGAGCCGGGCTTTGGGGTCGCCACCGTGGAGAAGGTCGCGATTAACGCCGTTATGGCAGGCTGCCGCCCCGAGCAGTTCCCGGTGCTGCTGGCCGCCATTGACTGCCTGGCCCAGCCGGAAATGAACCACCGGGATATGCAGGTGTCGGGCCACACCGAGGCTCCGCTGATTCTGGTCAACGGCCCCATTGCCCAGCGCGCCGGCATCAACTGCGGCACGTCGGCTATGGGTCCCGGCGTGGTCAACAGCGCCAACACCTCCATCGGACGGGCGCTGCGGCTGTGCCTGATTAACATTGGCTACTGCAAGGCCGGTACCGGCGACCCGAATTTCATCGGCCTGCCCACCAAGTTCGGCATGTGCATCGCCGAGAACGAAGAGCTTAGCCCGTGGCAGCCCTACCACGTAGACCAGGGATTTCAGGCCCACGAAAGCGCGGTGACGGTGGTAACCGTTACCGGCCCTGGCGACATCCTGGACTCGGGTTCCAGGAACCACGAGGACACGCTGAACAACATCGCTTCGCTGATGTTCTACCCCGGCGCCGGCAGCGGCGGGTGGATACGGGGCTGGCAGTCGGCGCAGGTGGGGCCATACCAACCAGCGGGTGTCTTACCCTGGGCCGTACCATCCCATTATGCTCAGTCCTTCCCGCGCGGTCATTCTGGCCGAAGCCGGGTACAGCAAGCGGGACGCCCAGGAATGGCTGCACGAGCATTGCCGGGTGACGTTGCAGAAGGCCATCGGCAGTCGCGGAGTGCCCAAGGACGAAACGGCAGATGGCTGCTTCACCCAGAGCTGCAATCCCTGGAGACCGACCCGGACGCCACCATTCCGATGCTGGAAAGCCCGGAGCAGTACCTGTTGTTCGTGACCGGCGGCACCACCCACTACGCCAACTTCTTCTACGGCACCTACGGCATCGCCACCAGGCCGGTGGAAGAGTTTTAGCCACCGGCGGTTGCTAACCGCCGTGTGTTCTGGCGGGAAAAACGAGCGGGGCGGAGTTGTTTCAGACCTACAACCTCGCCCCGTTTTCTTTGGTCCCTGACATCTCTTGTGTTATCTGGTTGAGCCGGATTCATCCAGGGTAGGTGGCAGCTCGGTAAGTTCTTTCCCTCTGCGGCGGTTGGAAGTCGCCGCTGGTTACGAGCCTCTCGACGCTCTTGGGCCTTTCGGAAGCCTTCTTTTTAGCGTCCACTGAGATATTTCTCCGCAAACATTTCAAACCTCTCTACGATGACCATCCTCTCCACTGCCACATCCTCAGGGGTCGCAGGCAAAGGGCGTCTGCCCCCCGACTCGTACCAGGAGACAACTCGGTTCCACTCGTGCGCGTAACTGGCCCCGCCAGGTTTCCTTGCTGATCTGAAGTGGCCGGCCTGTCCTCAGCCATCGGCATTTGCCCCGCCGACTGCCGCCAGATTCACCAGCCGCCACCAGGTTTCATGGCAGCACTCATCCCTGCCGGCGGTCTTCGGAGTCATCAGGGGCAACAGGGGGCACGGAGGTTCCTGCTACGGAGGCTGGTCAACGTGGCGGCCGAGTGGGCCATGTTGGCCACAGCCTTTAGTCTGCGAACCCTCTCGCGGGCGTGGCCCGCCCGCCTTCTTTGCAGTTCGGAGCCTTATCTCGCCTCCTGAACTGCGGTGATGTGACAACCGTAACCCATTCCCCTGGCCCCTTGGCCCGCTTTCGCCCTTCAATCCAGAGAGTGGCTTGGTGAATCCCCTGGGATAGTCCTATTTCCTACTTTCAAGTTTCCTTTCTTGGTGCCAGACCCCAAAAAATCTTACGCAATAATGCTGACGATATTTGACTGGAGCAATACAATACCTCCAAAGGATTCGCAAGCAGGGAGGGAAGCATGGCCAGAACACCCGCAGTCACCAGGGAATCAGTGCCTGAAAGAGAACGTGAAGCCTTCGATGCCTTCGTCGCCGGCAGAGGAGAAGTGCCCACCACCGGACCAGGGTCAGTCATGCTCAACGCCCCTGAGGTCGCCCAACGCGCCCTCGGTCTGGCCGCCTATCTGCGCACGGAGACGTCGCTTTCGCCTCGCATACGTGAACTGGCGATGCTGCTGGCGGCCCGGGAGAACGACTGCCAGTTCATCTGGAACGCCCACGCTCCGCACGCCAGGCGCGAGGGTCTGCGCGACGAGTTGGTCGACGCCCTCCGTGACAAGAAAGAACTGCCCAGTCCCGCAGGGGACGAGACGGCGGTAATCAACTACGGAAGGGAGTTCTTCCGGACCCGTCGCGTCAGCCAGGAATCATTCGACGCAGTGGTGGCACAATTCGGGATCAACGGCGCCACCGAGCTGACAACGCTGATGGGTTGCTATGCCATGCTGGCGTTCAACGTCAACGCGTTTGGCGTGGAGCTGCCAGATGACCATATCGAACAGGCGCTGCCCATTTAGCGACAATATTGGCGCGGACGTAAGAAATCAGGAGGTAAAAAGGAGGCAGGATATGTCCAGGGTAACGATGATTCAGCACATCAATCTTCAGATCAGCGACCGGGAGCGGACCCGCGAATGGTATGAAAAAGTCCTGGGCGCGGAGTATCTTGACCGTGGCCCGGAACTGAACCAGGGACAACTGCAACTGCGGATTGGGAACGGAGAAATTCATAGCACCCTTACGCCAACTCCCAATCCATCGGGGCACTTTGCCCTGGAGGTTCACGACTGGGATGAGATGATAGCCAACCTGGTTGCGTTGGAAGTGCCGCATTCTACGCCTTCGGTCCGCGGCTACAGCGGCGGACACTCCACCTACATCAAAGACCCCGACGGCAACATGATTGAGCTGGTGCAGCACCCCTTGGGACTGCGAAACTCAAAGGGCGAAACCGTGGAAGTAGCGCATGACCCGAAGGGCATGACTTGGGCGCAAGAGTCCGGCTTCGGTCCCATCGGCTGACGCATTTATCCCGGTTGCGGTAACGCCTGAAGGATTGAACCATAGTCGCCTCGGGCTGGACTCCGAGGCTTTGCAGGCCAGCTATGGCTTTTCCGGGCGCCGGTTCCAAGGCGGCAAGTCCTGGTACTACGGATACCCGTCCATTCGGGTGACTTCCGTGTCCTGCGCCCGATATGCAATGTATGGGCTGGTCGCCCCGGAGCGAGGCAACGCTCCCTGCCGACTGCCCTGCAGGGAGAGGTCCGGGTGGGGAAGCGACACGGATCACGCCCTAAGCCGGAACATGGGGGCTTGGTACGCCGCTACCATCAACAATCGGCTGGACAACAGGGTGGCGTCTCAGGCTCGCATAAACCGGTACATCCCTCGCTACGCTGGACCTTAGCCCCCACCGGAAGGAAGTCTAACCTCCGGCGGTGCTTTTGGTGGGAGAGGAATTGCCCACCTCGACTCTGGGCCAGCAGCGGTTCGTGGCTCAGCAGTTGCCGGACTGTCGGCTGGTGGTCTAACCCGGCCAGGGCCAGGGCTTCAACTCTATCCACCAAGAGCGGTGCCCCCAACAGTTAAGGGAATTTGTCGCTTTGCTAACCATATGAGGAGGAAACCATGCCCTACTACATGTATGTTGCCGTGAACGAGGACAACAAGATTTCGGTCTTCACCGTGGACCCCGAAAGCGGAGGTCTCACCCACCAGCGCGACGTGGCTGTCTCCGGCGGGCCGTTCAACCTGGCGATCAGTCCCGACCGCAATCACTTGTATTGCGGAACCCGGGAAACCCCTCGGCTGACCAGCTTCAGGATTGATCAGTCCAATGGAGACCTCACGCTGACGGGGGAGGTGCCGCTGGACTCGTGGCCGGTCTACATCAACACGGACCGTAGAGGCAGGTTTGTGCTGTCGTCCTACTACCCGGGGGCACGCGTGATGGTGCACCCCGTCGGGGACGACGGATCAGTGGGGGGTGCCCCGGTCGTATCGCTGGAGACGGCGACGGGGGCTCACGCGATGCAGACCGACCCGACCAACAGCTACGCTTTCGTTCCTCACATCGCGGGAAACGGCCCCAACCAGGTCTGGCAGTTCAAGTTCGACGAGGACACGGGCCAAATTACCCCCAACTCTCCGGCGATAGTGGAACTGGAGGAATTCCTGGGGCCCCGTCACTTCTGCTTTCATCCTTCCCTGGACGTCCTCTACTTCTCCAACGAGCAGGGGTGCAGCGTTAGCGGATACCGTCTTGACACTGCGGCGGGAACGCTTGCTCTCTTCCAGACCATTACCACCCTTCCCGCCGAGGGCTTTGCCGAGAGAAACACCTGCTCCCAGATTCAGATCACCGGGGCGGGCAGGTTTCTTTACGCGCCCAACCGGGGCCATGACAGCATCGCCTGTTACACGGTGGACACTGGCACCGGAGAATTGGCCTCCAACGGCATCGTTGCTTCAGAGGCAAGACCTAACGCCCTCTGCCTTGGCCCCGGGGACCGGCACATCTACTCGGCCGGCCAGGATTCGGGACAGATGGCGATATTCGGCGTTAATCCAGATTCCGGCTCGCTAACCTTGTCGGAGACAGTCCCGTTGGGCAAGGGGCCGTGCTGGATATCTATCGTAGAGTTGTCGGGATAGCGCCCGGTCAGTTAGGTAAGCAGAGGCGCCTGCTGCGGCGCCTCTGGCAACGATGCAATTCCTGAGCGGGGGTAAGGTGCTGGTCCTTGAAGAGAGGGAACCGGAAGAGGTCAAGTATCTGGGCCATACCACTGATATGGATGGGTATTGTATCGCGCCTTCAATAATGCTCTTTGCCAAAGAAGAATGAGCGGAGGGCAATGGTACTGTATCCTGGATTTACGAAAGAGCTACCCGCGAAGGCATTAGTGTTCTATAACGGTGTAAAAGCTTTCCTCTAACGTATCCGATCCATTGCCGCCGCCGCTATTCCTTCGAACCAACCGCAGCCGCCGCTATAGCGACTAAAAAAACACGCTCAGATTCTTCGCCAGAATGACGCTCGAGTCCAGCACAATCGCCCGCCGAGCAATCTTCCACCTCTCTTCCGTCCTGCGCAGCTCGTCCTCACGGCTTCCGGCGAAGATGTTTTCGTCTTTCTCGTGGTGTGAGCGGTACAGCATGAACGCCGTTTTGGCCTTCACCATTCCTTCCGATACCTGCTCCACCACCAGGTTGCCTACTATATGACGGGTGCGCGACGGTGGCTCCTCCGCCCAAGCCATGCCCGTCTCCAGCCGGTCAACCCGCATCGTCAAGTAGGTCTTGTCGTCCTCGAAAATTGACAGGTCTCCTTCCTCCGATGGGCGCAAATGTCGTCATGCCCTTAGCTCTACAAAATGGATTCCCTTCTTTCCTGAACCAAATGGGAACAAGGGAGTTTTTGCCCTGCCTCGGTTAACGGGGGTAGCCAGGACCAACTGGACTACTCCAGGAAGGCTCCCGATTCTTGTCTACCTTGGATTTACCGGAAGCAGGGAATACTCAAGATGGGTGCCTCAACCCTCATCATTCTTTGATGCTGAGAGTCCTGTTCCAGGCGATTAATCTACGCATGACCCGGTTACCGGGGGTTGTATGGTAAGCCCAGCGGGTATATTCTGCCCCTGTGTAACCCGTACTCCCGTGCGTCCCACTTTGACCACAGGAGTTCAGCCGGGAACGCACAAGTCCGTCCTCAAAGGAGGCCCCATGAAGTTCGGAATCTTTACCATCGTCCCCTACCACGAGGACTTTACCCAGCAGCAGGCGCTGACCCAGGCATTGCAGCAGATACAGTTCGCCGACGAAGCCGGCCTCGACGAAGCGTGGCTGGGCGAGCATCGCTTTTCCCGACACGGCCTGCTCTCTGGAATCTGGTCCTTCCTCGGCGCGGTCGCCGGACGCACGAAGAACATCCGCATCGGCACCGCAGTCATCGTCCTGCCGCTACATAACCCTGTCTTGGTCGCCGAAGAAGTGGCTATGCTCGACATCATTAGCAACGGCCGGTTCAACTTCGGTATCGGCGCCGGCTACCAGCAGCAGGAGTTCGACGGCGTGGGCGTCGACATCGACACCAGCCGTGATCGATTCCACGAGGCCGTCGACGTGATGATCAAGGCCTGGACCGAGGAATCCCTCACCTACCACGGCCAGTTCACCAACGTTGACGATGTTTGGGTGCTGCCCAAGCCATTGCAGAAGCCCTACCCGCCCCTGTTCCAGGCCGTCAGCACGAGCCCGGCCAGCATCGATTTCGCCGCCAGTCGCAACATTCAGGTCATCGCCGGCGGCCCCACCGACATCCTCGGCCAGGCGCCCCAGGTCATCAAGCTGTGGCGTGAGAAGATGGACGAGTACGATCACGCGCACGCCCACCTGGACCCGCCCATGTCCAAGTCCATCTACGTGGCCCCCACCATGGAGGAAGCGGAGCGGGACGCCGCCGAGCTGGAGAATTTTTCCTCGCGGATACTGCGGTCAATCGGCAACTCCGGGGCGCCCATCGGTATGCCGATGGACAAGAACGGCAACGTTGCCAAAGGTTACGAGCACTGGGCCAACCGCCAGAGCGACCGGGACCGCCGCGACGATCCGGGCCACGCCGGTCTGCCGCCGCTTCGGGGAACCCCCGAGGTGGTGATAGAACGGTTGAAGCAGACCCAGGAAGCTGGAATTAACCACGTCTTCGGCAACTTCGGCTTCGCCGGCCTGCCCCATGAGAAGGTGATGCGCTCCATTGAGCTCTTCGCTACTCACGTCATGCCCCACTTCCAGGAAGCCCCTGTCGTCGCCGGGGACTAACCAATTCGCCCGGCCAGGTCTGCAAAGGTTCCCTCTAAGAACGGCGGAGGGAACCTTTGATTTACATTCGCTTCCGACAATACCCCAGGAGACGCCCGCGTAAGAAAACGAGGTCGCTACAACTTCTGCCAAATTTCAATTGGCCGCGGCGAATCGGGCACTGGACAATGAATTGAATTTAACCGGCACCCTGCATCGGGCAGCAGGGCCCCTGAGCATATTCCGGCGGCGGAATTTCAGCCTCCTGTGGACTTCCATGACCCTGGTGGGTATGGGAAACCAGATGGAGCAGGTGGTGCTGGGTTGGTACGTCCTCACCCTGACCGACTCGCCCTTCCTGGTAGGGCTGGTCGGTTCGGCCAGGATGGCCCTTAACTTCCTGGCCCTGTTCACGGGAGCAATAGCGGACCGGGTGCCCCGGCAGCGGCTGTTGGCAGGGGTGGAGTTCGCCATGGCCCTGCTGGGAACGGGGATGCTGGTCCTGATCGTCAGTGGACGGCTGGAGGTCTGGAACGCTACGCCATAACACTGTTGGGAGGGGTTATACGGCTGTTCCAAATGCCGGCGGCCCAATCAAATGGTCGCCGACACCCTGAGCGAGGACCGGATTTCCAGTGGTGCCGCGCTGACCAATGTGGGTCGGAACCTGACCACGGTGGTTGGGCCACTGATCGGCGGTGTCTTGTTCCAGAGGTTCGGGCCCGAGGGGGCCTTCCTGGTGGTGGCGTCACTCTACTTCTGCGGCGGGATTTCCGCTTTCGCCATCGGGAACATCGGGAGCGCCCGGACTAGGGAAAGGGAGTCGCTCCTCCAGGACATTTGGGACGGATTGAAATACGTTAAGGGCCAGCAGGCGCTCTGGGCTATGCTGGTTCTGGCGGTGATCATCAATTTCACCGGATGGCCCCTCCACACCACGCTCATGCCGGTGTTCGCCCGGGATGTGCTGGGGACAGGCTCCACGGGCCTTGGGTTATTGATTTCCGCCTTTGGCATCGGGGCTTTGCTGGGTTCAATGGCCTGGGCTTCGGTGCCCAATTTGAAACATATCGGCATATTACTGGTCCTGGCGGTGGTGCTGTGGCACCTGAGCATGGTGGTTTTCTCGGTTTCTACTTCGTTGTACCTGTCGCTGGCCATCCTTCTGTTCACCGGGGCGTTCTTCTCCTCGACCCAGGTTTTGATGCTGACACTCCTGCTCAAGACAACCCGTCCGGAGTTCCGGGGTCGGGTAATTGGGCTGCGCTCTTTTTGCCATTTACGCCTACACCTTCGGGAGTTTGAACTCGGGAGCTGTGGCCAGCTTTTGGGGGGCGCCCTGGGCCGCTAACATAAACGCTGTAATCGGGATAACAATGGTTGGGATTCTGGCCCTTGTCGCACCCAAGTTCCGCCGGTCGTAACCGCCAAGAGCCGGAAGTCCGCGTTTGGCGGTACGAGGAAGTCACAGGAAGCGGTTTTGATGGACGCCGAATTCCGGGGCCGTAATACCGAATGGTTCCAAGGGGAGTTGGCTCTGAGTCGGGAGTTGTACTGCCTATAATAGGGCCACCACATTTCGGCGCCGGAGCCGTCCAGAACGGGCCGGCCGGCCAAGATAAGGAGGGTTGTCATGAAGATAGGTATGTCGCTAACCAGCAGTTACTCGGTTGAGCGAGACAGTTCGGAGCTGCTGGCCAGTTTGATGGACCAGGTGAAGTTGATGGCGGGCCTGGGTTTCGATTCGCTGTCGTTGGGAGACCATCACCTGACCCACGATCACTATATGCAGGTCATGCCAACGATTTCCCACATGGCGGCCTTCAGCGGAGACATGCAATTGATTCCCCTGTTCCTTCTACCATTCTACAACCCCATATTGCTGGCAGAGCAGGTGGCGACGTTGGACGTGATTACCGGGGGCCGAACTGTGGTGATTTGCGGGTTGGGCTACGACCCGGCGGCATTCTCCGCCTTCGGGACCTCGCAACGGGTGCGGGCGCCGCGGTTTGTTGAAACGTTCCGGATCATGCGAGCCCTCTTTACGGGAGACGATGTTACTTTCCAGGGCCGGCACTACAACATCGACGAAGGAGTCCGCATTAACCCCAAGCCGGTGCAGCAGACTTTGCCCATGTGGATTGCCGGAGGGGCAGACCCCGCCGTGCGTCGGGCGGCCCAAATGGCCAACGGCTGGGTCATTGCGCCGGGGCGGAATCGACCCGCCATCGAGCGTGGGTTACAGGTCTACCAAAACGCGCTGGCCGAGTTTGGCCGCGAGGATGAGGGGAACGAGGTGGTTCTGAGGCGGGATGTGCACCTGGCCGGCACCAATGAAGGGGCGCGACGGGAGGCGGAGCCTTTGTTCGAGAACGGGTATCGGGGCAATAGGGGCGCCGACCTGGAGCAGTATCTGTTAGTGGGCGGTCCCGAGGAGTGCGTTGAGTATTTGAAAGGGTTGGAGGGTCTGGGCGTTGACCGGGTGTTGTTCCGGTGTGCTCTGGACGAGCCGGAACAGGCGGCGCAGACGATTCAAGTGCTGGGGGAAGGAGTTATTCCCGCGTTCAGGTAGGGGAGATTGCCTTCGGAGGGGCGGGAGAACCCCTATCGGACGACCGAGTGATTCGTTTGTTGATAGCCCCCTCGATCAGGTTTCGAGTTCGGTACAGTCCACCTCCCGTTCCACCCAGGCTTCGTACAATTTCGATTCGCCCTGTATTTTCTCCTCACCATCCTGCCGAATCGTCGTTGACAGAGCCAAAAGCAAGGATTACATTGCCGACAACCTGCCAGTACTGCGTCTTTCACAAGCTCTTGATGGGCTGAATCTGGTGTATGCTGCGAATATCGGAATACGGGAGTAGCTGATGTCGGAAGTTTACCGGGCCGATCATGTGGGCAGTCTATTGCGTCCCCCGGAATTGCTGGAAGCTCGAGCCTCCCATGAGGCGGGACGACTGAGCCTGGAGCAACTTCGGGAAATCGAAGACCAGGCCATCCTCCAGGCTCTGGAAATGCAACGCGAGGTTGGAATCGAAGTGTTCAGTGACGGCGAGTATCGCCAGCTGGTTTTCCGGCGGCCTGGCCGAGTCAGTCGAGGGAGTCATAGATGATCCCGAGCCGGGCCTCGTCAACCCCTGGCAGGGCCCCCAGGGCCAATTCGCTGACGATACCACCGCGGACATTGGTTTCGCGACCCAGGTCGTAGGGGCGAAGCTGCGGCAAGTCCGCAGGCTAACAGCCCACGAGTCGGGATTTCTAAAGGCGCATGCCCCGGGTCCCTTTAAGATCACCATGCCCGGAGTAATGACCCGGGCCCTGGCCTGGTACAAGCCCGGCTTGACCGACCGGTTTTACCCTGCGCCCTCGGACCTGGTCCAGGAAACTGGTCGAAATGCTGCAACGGGAAGTGCAGGCACTGCTGGACGAAGGAGTAACCTACATCCAGCTGGATTCCCTGCGCTACGTTATCGAGTTGGCGGACGTCCGCCGCCGCCAGCAAATGCTTCAGGCCGGAGAGGATCTGGACCAGGCCCTGGAGAACACTATCGCCGCCGACAACGCCACCCTGCGAAACGCACGGCGCCCTAGCGTCACCATAGCCATGCACATGTGCCGGGGCAACAATCGCAGCGCCTGGCGTTCCGAAGGCGGCTACGATGTAGTTGCGGAACGCGCTTTTGCCTCGCTAGACGTGGACAGATTTCTGCTGGAGTATGACACCGAGCGGGCAGGGGGATTTGAACCGCTCCGCTTCATGCCTTCAGACAAGGTCGTGGTCCTGGGTCTGATTAGCTCCAAGAATCCGCAATTGGAGTCGCAAGACCAGCTTTTGCGGCGCATCGATGAAGCAGCCAAATACGTCCCCATCGAGAATCTGGCGCTAAGCCCGCAATGTGGGTTCGCTTCCACGGCCCCAGGCAACATGCTGTCGCCGGAAGAACAGAAACGAAAACTGGAACTTGTGGTGGATACTGCCAGAAAAGTTTGGGGGTAGCTGCTGGACCATGAACCGAACAGATATGTAATCGGCTACCCGCCCGACATCACCGGTTCCAAGCCATCGCAACTAACTGCCTGGGCGAAACCATCCGTAGCGTGGAGAACTGACATGAAGCTCAGCATCGACCGCATCCTGACGACTCACACCGGCAGCCTTCCAAGGCCCCTGGACTTGACGGCCATGCTGGAGGCCTGGGATTCCGGTGCCTCGCCTGACCGGCAGACCTTCGGGACCCGAGTCAGGGCCGCCGTGGCCGAGGTGGTCCGAAACCAGGTAGAGTCCGGAGTGGACGTGGTTAGCGACGGCGAGCAAGGGAAAGTAGGATACTCGACTTACGTCCGGCATCGCCTCACTGGATTCGAGGGAGAGGGTTCGGTAACTAACCGGTCCGACTGGGCCGACTTCCCTGCGGCAGCCTCGCGCCAGTCCACGCCCTCTACAGTGTCCCGTCCCGCCTGCGATGGCCCCATCGAGTGGAAGGACCGGGAGGCGGTGCGGACCGATACCGCCAACTTTAGGGCTGCCCTGTCCGGCCTGGACCCAGCGGAAGCCTTCATGACCGCCGCTTCTCCCGGCGTAGTTGCCCACTTCTTGATCAACCAATACTTTCCCAGCAGGGAAGCTTATCTGGCCCGATTGGCCGACGTGATGAAGGAAGAGTACGAAGCCATTTATCAAGCCGGCTTCCTGCTCCAAGTGGACTGCCCGGATTTGGCCATGGGGCGCCACTTGAGGTTCCCGGACCTGAGCAACCAGGAGTTCCTGAAGATCGCAGAATCCAACATAGAGGTGCTGAACCACGCACTGGCAGACATACCGGCCGATAGGGTCAGAATGCACCTGTGCTGGGGTAACTACGAAGGGCCCCATCATCGGGATATTCCTTTGGAAGAAATCATTGGCGTTGTGTTGAAAGCGCGCCCCCAGGCCGTCTCCTTCGAGGGCGCCAACCCGAGGCACGAGCACGAGTGGGAGGTATTCCAAAGCGTCAGGATTCCCGATGACAAAATCATTATTCCCGGGGTGGTGGATTCCACGACCAACTACATTGAGCATCCGCGACTGGTGGCCCAGCGAATCGTCCGGTACGCCGAATTGGTGGGCAAGGAAAATGTAATAGCCGGGTCCGACTGCGGGTTCGGCACCTTCGCCCGTTCTAACTACAACGTGGAACCTGAAATCGTCTGGGCCAAATTCCGGGCCATGGCTGAGGGCGCGCGACTGGCCTCGGAACAGCTCTGGCGCTAGTCCCCGGCAACCTGTGACTAATCTTGAGCCCAGGAAGTACGAGCCCGAGGAGAACAGGATATGCAACGCAGCACCAACCGAATCCTCACGACCCACGCCGGCAGGCTTCCCAACCCGAGCAACATTGACGAAATAATGGAGGCCCGTGCCAACAACGATCAGTCAAGGTTCGATGCGCTGGTACCAGCCGCCGTTGCCGACCTGGTACGAAAGCAGAGGGAGCTGAAAAACGACATTCACAGCGACGGAGAGTTCTGGAAAGCCCGCGATGGCAAGTACTACGACAGCCGGTCGACCGGAATCGAAATGCGGCCGGTTGCGGATGACGCCCCTCCCTCCATTGTTTTCTTCCAACAAGAGAGGCAGATGCCTGAATTCAGAGATTTCTATGAGATCTATGACGCCATGGGAAATGTGCCTGTCCCAGGCGTAACCGCGCAACGTCAGGTAGAACGGGGGACCATCACCGGGCCCATGGAGTACCGTGGACAGGAGGCAATTAAGCACGAGATCGGGTTGGTGAAAGCAGGCATTGCGGCAGCCGGAGCGAGTGTAGAGGACTTCTTCTTCCCAAGCCTGGGACCTGGCTGGTTGGGCCACTTTCTCTGGAACGAATATTACCCGACGGAAGAAGAGTACGTGTATGCCATGGCAGACTTCTTCAAGGGTGACTACGAAGCTATCGTAGAGGCCGGGTTTATCTTGCAGATAGACGATCCCGGATTGTGTGACAAGTTTACCCTGTTCTCCCCACCCATCAGCATAGAAGAGTTTCGCAAACACGCGGACCTGCGGATTGAAGCAACCAACTACGCCCTCAGCAACATACCGGAGGAGCGGGTAAGGTACCACACCTGCTGGGGAAGCTGGCATACCCCCCATACCAACGATATACCCTTCAGGCACGTCGTTGACCTGATGCTTAAAGTAAATGCCCAGGCCTATTCGGTGGAGTCGGCCGATGTGCGCCACCAGTTGGACTGGAAGGTCTGGGAGGACGTGAAGTTTCCGGAAGGAAAAATCTTCATTCCCGGCGTCGTCGCGCACAAGACAACCACCGTAGAGCCGCCGGAGTTGGTTGCCGACCGAATATTGACCTATGCCCGGATAATGGGGCGCGAAAACATAATTGCTGGCACAGATTGTGGCTACGGAAACCGGGTTTACCCGGATATTGCCTGGGCCAAAATGAGGTCAATGGCGGCCGGCGCGGAATTGGCTACCAGCCAACTCTGGCCCCGCGCCAGCTAAGCTCGCTCGGTGGGGCATAGGCTTGACCCTTGGATCGCTCCGCTTGGGCTTCGTGGGCTTAGCCACCGAAAATTCGGAGGGCATTTCCGTAATCGCAGCCACCAAGCCACTACGTGGATGTAAATTCACCGCGAAGGATGGGCTGGAGACTGCTACCAGGCCGTCCCGGAAATAGCCTGGTCCAGCCCCTGCACGAATGAGCAGCATTCGAAGTTAGTTACTCCAGCCAGAATGCTTGTCGGCAACTTCGGGAAGCTTCTGACTTTAGGGGCGTATCAACTGCTGGTGAAGCCGTGGAATGTAGCCTTGGCTATGTTGCCCCACTTGAAAGGGAGGCAAAGTCATGAATAGACCGGCCAGGGGACTCATCAACGCCGGGCCTTTGGCCCAGATCAAAGAGCAGGGCTGCACCGTGGTAACCGGCGGGGGACACGCCATCGCTGTCTTCTTTCACGACGGCCAGGTTCACGCTGTGGACAACCGTTGTCCCCACATGGGCTTTCCCCTGGAACGGGGCAGCGTCAGGGACGGAATCCTTACCTGCCACTGGCACCACGCCCGGTTCGAGCTATCCAGCGGCGGCACCTTCAACCCCTTTGCCGACGACGTGCGCACGTTTCCGGTGAACGTGGTGGAGGGCGAGGTATGGATCGACCCCGCACCTGCTCCCCGCGATGAGGCAAGGCACTGGCAACGACGACTGCAAGATGGCATGGAGCATAACCTGCGGCTGGTCATAGCCAAGGCGGTGCTGGGCTTGCAGGCCGCAGGCTCCGATTACCTGGAGCCGCTGCGAACAGGCACTCGGTTCGGCACCACCTATTCTGCCGATGGGTGGGGCGCAGCTATGACTATCCTGACCTGCACCGCCAATATGATGCCGCATCTGCAAGTAGAGGACCGCCCCAGAGCCCTGTATCAGGGCTTGCTTCACGTCGCCCGGGAATGTGCAGGCAAGCCTCCCCGCTTCTCGGTAGAACCGTTGCCCACCGCGGAACCCCGCCCGGAGGTTTTCGCTGGATGGTTCCGAAATTTCATAAACGTCAGGGATGCTGAGGGCGCCGAGCGGTGCCTCATCACGGCCATAGAGTGCGGGATTTCCAGGGAAGACATTGCCAGCATGATGTTCGCCGCTGCCACCGACCACATCTACCTGGACGGCGGGCATGTTTTGGACTTCGCCAACAAGGCTGTCGAGTTACTGGGCCACCTGGGCTGGGAGATAGCTGGGCAGGTGCTGCCCAGCCTGGTGCATGGGATGGCCCGGGCACGCCGAAGCCAGGAGCTCAGCCAGTGGCGGGATCCCATCGACATTGCTTCGATGGTCTGGGAAGCGAGGGAGCAGCTTCCTGGCCTTCTTGAGCAGGGCCGAAACCACTCCGGCAACTGGGACGACGCCGACTCCCTGGCATTCCAGATGCTAGGCGACTCACCTGACGAGATTATGGTGGGGATTAAGGAGGCTATAGCCAAAGGGGCTACCGCCGGTCAGCTTGGATCTGCTGTCGCCCATGCTGCCTTTCTACGCATGGCTCACTTCCACACCTCCAACGAGTTCCGCGACTGGGACACGGTGCACAATACCCTTACTGCGGCCAACGCTTTGCACCAGGCTTTAAAACGAACGCCGACTCCTGAGTTAATGCGGGGAGTTTTTGACGTGGCGATGAGCATCTACCTGGACCGGTTCCTCAATATGCCGCCCCAGAGGTTGCCCGATGCTGGACCCAGCGCGGATTTCCCCGCAGAGCAACTCGACCGAATATTGGAGATGGTGGACGTCCGGCAGCAGGTGGAGGAAACCGCCCAGGCCGTGTCGGGTTACCTGGCCGGCGATGGCAATCCGGCAGACCTGACGGCCACCCTGGGCCGTATGATGCTGCGAGAGGACGCCAACTTCCACTCATTCCAGATCGCCGAAGCGGCATTCAAACAATTCGATGAGCGACAAGGCACGGAATCCGGGCGGCACGTGATGATCGGGTTGTCCAGGTTCCTCGCGGCCCACTCCCCGACGCCCCGGGCCGAAGGTCAGACCTACCAGATAGCTCTCCGGCTGCAGCGCGGCGAAGAGATTTATCAGTGAAATAAGTCCAGAGCGCCATCGTGGACAGACCGCTCCGGTAGGATCGGCGGAAGTGTGTTTCCAAGTCCGGGCCGGTTCTCCGTGCATGGTCACTTTCGGAAGTGGCGTTTGCTCCGATTCGGACTGCCCCCGAAAACCCCTGAAGCAATCGGAGCCCTGTTGGCTTCCGAAGTTGCGCTGCTGATAAACCTGGGAATCCTGGCTACCACTGCCGGCAAGAGACTGAATAACTTCTGTCGCAACAGGAGGCAAGTGGGATCGTCAGTCACTTGTCCGGGCACAAGCCTTCTGTGACTTGCTCAAGGCGCTCAGATTTACGTTGCAATGCGGTACGCCCGAACCGCTGAGTCATGGAACAGGTTGGCCCGCTCGTCAGGACTGTAGCCCTGCGAGAGGAGCTTGAATGCGTTGTACATCACGTTGTAGGAAAAGGAGACCTTGTCCGGCGGGAAGTTGCTCTCGAACATGCAACGTTCCGGCCCAAATTGCTCGATACAGTAGTTCATCCACGGCGCCATGGAGTCGGAAAGCTCCTCAGAACCTATGGGAATATCCCGGGCGTGCCAGCCGAACCCCCAGCGGGGCATTCCCATTCCCCCAAGCTTGCAGACAACATTGGGACATTGGGCCACGGCGCGGATACCGTCCCGCCACGCAGGGATAACTTCGTCGTCCCGCCCCGCGTAGATTCCAGTCCTGCTGACCCCACCCATGTGGTTAAGGACGATGGGCAAGCCTGGCAGCGCCCTGGCCAAGTCGGCCAACTCGTTCAATTGCGGAAAGGAAAGCATAACGTCCAGCGACAGCCCCATTCCAGCCAAAACCCGGGCGCCGGCCCTGAAGGAGTCGTTGGCCATGATTCCCTGGGTTTCCCGATCTTCGATGGACGGGTCCGGGCTCCAGGTAACGTTGTGGCGGATGCCCTTGAAGCGGTTGAGACTGGCCGCCTGCAGGGTCTCCAACACCGGCGCCACGCCCTCGCCCAACTTCAGGTCGGCGTGACCTACTATGGCCGCCGCGGCTCTTACCTCGCCGTAGATGCCACTGGCGCTGGCCGCGGCTAAACCTTGTACAAACTCCACCTCTCCAACCGGCCGCAACTCCTCCGGCCCAGAGGCACGATACATCGACCGGGCTTCTACAAAAACTGTTGACCGGACATTGTGCCCGGAGGACAGGTCACCCATCAGTTCGTGCAGCAGGTATCGCTGGTAGGGAATACTCTGTAGCCGTTGGTCCCAGAAATGGTGATGCGGGTCGCAAATCGGGATTGCAGGCTCAATGGTACTTTCGTCCGTCAGGGCCAGCCAGTCGTTATTTCCAAATGGCACGTCAATCCCTCCTTTCCCGAGTAGGGCCAAGCCAATGATACCACTTTAGCGCCGTGCTTCCGGCAGGGCATTTCAGGCCTGTACGGGGCTGGCTGGTCACTAGTAGGTCAACACAGCTGTAGCGATGGGTAAAGGGACTTTAGTTTGATGCGTGCATCGGAGGTGGTGAAGCGCCAGTCCACTTGGACTGCTTCTCGGTTCCGCCGTGTTTGCCAGGCTCCGGTTTCTGCCCTCAGGGTTTCCCGGTCGGCAATCCGCCGGTCCAGGCATTGGCGTCCCAGCACCCCCAATTCTATTTCGGCCATGTTTAGCCAACTGCCGTGCTTGGGGGTATGGTGAATCTCCAACCGTTGAGCTATGCGCCGGGCCTCCGCGGGTTCAAAGGCATCATATAATGAGCTGGGATGATGGGTGTTCAGGTTGTCCATTACCAGCACGATACGATCCTTGTCGGGATAGTCCTGGTCCACCAGTTGCTTGACCTGGCGCGCCCAATCGACTTTAGTCCGGCGCTCCGTCACCTCGACCCTCCGCCAGCCCTCCAGGGGCGCGAACACCATGAACAGGTTGCTCACCCCGTTGCGCTGGTATTCGTGGTCATAAGCCTGGACCGCCCCAGGACGCGGCGGCCGAGGCGGGCGGGTCTCCCGCACCTGCTGCTTGCTGGTTTCGTCCAGACATACCAGCACTTCGTTGTCCTCATACTGGCGGTGGTAGACCTCCAGCACGTCCTCCATGGCGCACACGAACTCGGCGCTGCCTTGGGGCGGGATGCACCAGCATTCCTTCAGCCAGGGCTTGAGTTTGTTTTTTTCAAGGTCCGGCGCACCGTCTCGGAACTGACCCTCTCCACTATCTCGCATTCCACCAGCCGGTTCGCCAGCAACTTCAGCGTCCAACTGGACCGCCCCTCCGGTGGGTCGCCGCAGGCCAGCGCCACCAGGTAGGCCTCTCCCTGACCATCCAGTCGTTTCTGCGGCCGGTTCAGTTGTTCCTTGCGCCCCAGGGCACGCTCCAGACCATCTTCCACGCAACGCCGCCGCACTCGCTCCACCGTCGCCCTCCCCACCTTCAGGGACCGGGCTATCTCCTCGTCCTTCATCGGCCCTTCCGCCTGGTTCTCATCGCTTAACAGCAGAATCCGGGCATGGGTCTGCCGGTAGGCCGCCGCCCTCCCCCTGGATACCAGAGCCTTCAGCACCTGCCGCTCCTCCTCCCCCAACTCCACTCGGTACTTCTTTACCATCACTCCCACCTCACTCCTCCACCTTTTCTCTACTGAACCATTGTACCTGATCCCCCATCAATCCAACTGTGTCAGTCTACTAGAAGCATTGTACGGAAGCCCACCTGAGCTGCTATTCAGGCCTGGATGGCCTGACACGAGCCCAAAGTCTGGCTGGAAATAGACCATTGGTACCTCATTAGGAGTCGCGTTGGTGTAGGTGTATCATCGGCCAATGACAGGTACAGGAATTGGGAACTGGGCAACCTCCCTGCGCATCAGGGACTTCCGCCTTCTCTGGGCATCTACGCTCCTCTACTCCCTGGCCACAGGGATGGAGCAGGTTTCGGTGGGGTGGCTTATCTTCGAGCTTACCGGTTCGGAGTTGATGGTGGGCGTGGGAGCCGCAGCCCGGATGTTGCCCTTTTTCCTGTTCGGGATATTGTCCGGGGCAATCACCGATCGCTGGGAGCGGCGGTTGCTGCTGCGAATCGGCAACCTGGGGGCAGCCGCAGCCGCACTGGTTATGGCCCTGTTGCTCCTGGGAGGTCTGACCAACGTCTGGGTCGTGATCGCGCTGGTGGGTGCCCTCGGCAGCATGTTGGCCTTCACCATAACGGTTCGGCAGACTTATACCATTGACATCGTGGGCTCCGGACTTTCTCTGAACGGGCTGGCCCTTGGATCGATGGCCATGCAAGGCGGTGGCATCGTAGGGTCCCTCGTTTCCGGGGCGTTGATTGAGGTTGCGGGAACTGGCTGGCAATTCGTGGCGGCGGGGGTCTGCTATCTGTGTGCCGCCGCCGCAACCCTGGCCCTCGGCAACCCGGGCCGCTCGGTCCGTTCGTCCGTAACATCGGTACTGGGGAATCTGACGGGCTATGTCAGCCTGGTCCGTAGCCGTCGCTTTCTGCTGGCCCTCATGTGCCTGACGGCAGCCACGGAGGTGCTCGGTTTTACCCATATGACCCTGCTGCCGGTGTTTGCCAAGGAGGTAGTTCACGTAGGACCTACGGGGCTGGGCATTATGACCGCAGTACGCCAGACCGGAGGGCTGCTGGGGCTGGGGCTGCTGGCCGGGCTCGTGACTTCCAGGAAGAAGGGATTGATGATGTTTGCCACGGCCGCAGGTTTTGGCGGGGGACTGATGGCGTTCTCAGTGTCCGGCAACATCTATTTCTTCCTGGGTGTATTGTTGTTCGTCAACGCCTGCGCCATGGCCGTCGATACCCTCTACAAGACTATAATGCAGGAGCTTGTGTCCGACGAGGAACGGGGGCGCGCCATGGGTTCCTGGGTGCTGAGCATCGGATTCGCTCCAGTGGGCCACGTGGGGGTCGGAGCGCTGGCAGGAGTCGTGGGTGCTCAGAGAGCTCTGCTGATCAACGGCGCAATACTGTGTGCAGTCAGTTTCATCACCGCGCTCGGTATGCCGAACATCAGGCGACTGGATTAAGCGTCGCTCGCACTTCCACGGTGCCAGCGGTTCCACGCTGGGCGCTTCCCTCGTTCGTGGGCCCGAACGGCTTCCCGACGCCAGCAAGCTTAGCTGACCTTCGGTGGGGGCTGGCCTTTCCTGAACCACCCCTCCCGAGCAGCTTCCAGACACCTCCGCACCGTTTCGCGGGACAGCCCTGTCACCGTCCCTATGCTTAGCTGCCCACCGGCCAGCGCCGGACCACTTCCCCCGTCTTCACTCTGTGAACATCCTTGAACGCCATCTCCGCTCCTACCATCCAGGTGTGACAATGGTCGCCCATCTGGCAACTATGGTGTCCTAATCACTCTGGATTGCGGGCCTTCTGACCTTTGTGTACCTGCAAGTTGCGAACTGGTCCGCATTTCACAGGCCTCATTGAGACCTCTGGGGACTACAAGAGGGGATTTGCCAAATACAAAAATGGGGAAGAGCCGGGGGAATGGAGGCTTAACGAATTGATTCAGTGGCGGAGGGGGCGGGATTCGAACCCGCGATCCCGGTTTCCCAGGATAAGCGCTTAGCAGGCGCCCGCACTAGACCACTATGCGACCCCTCCAAAATATGGATGTTCAATATATCAGATTGGCAGTTTGGCTACAACTTTGGTTGCGTAAAATAGCAACAGGAGGAAGGGGGGGGGAGGGGGGAAAAAGGGCAAGGAGGGAACAGGGAAGAGAGGACGGCCGAAACGTTGGTGGCTCTCTGCCACCGTGCTTCATTCTCTCTTTTTAGGACTTTGCCTGCGACTTCGCTCTCTCTTTGTCTTCATGCTCGTCTCTCGTCCCTGGCCCGGGGCGGGTCGTCCCTGCCCGTGGGACCAAAACGCAGGCCAAGTCTTCCTTCCCGTGGCCTAGGAGAAAGGACGAGGGCGGGTAGGGTACGGACACCCACTCACACGGCAATCGCGCCTCAGACGGAGCCTCTAGAGGTAGGGACCCGAGGAGGAAAGAGAGGGAAAGGGCGGATGAAGAGGGAGAGAAGCCGCGGGGGGACAAGAAGGAAGGAGAACCCGGGGAGAAGAGCGAGAGCCGGAAACGACAGAGAAAGAAGAGGGAAAATAAGGAAGGGATGAAAAGGGGGAAAAAGAGAGAACATCTGCAGGACGGCGCCGGGCACGAAAGAAAGGGGGGGGGGAGGAAGGGAAGAAGGGCGAGCGAGGGGCGGGCGGGGCAGGGGAAGTGAAGGGAGGAGAGGAGACCAGACAAGACAAAGGGAGCCAAGAAAGGAGAAAAGGGAGACGGGGAGGACGAGGGGCCCAAGTACCGAGGCAGCCAGGGGGTGGGGGGGGGGGGGAGGGGGGGGGGAAGAAAAGGAAAAAAAAAAAAAACAAAAGGCGGAGGTAAAGTGGACCACGTGGGCGGCTCTGCTGGCTGAATTATGGCGGCGGGAAATCGTACCGTCCACCGCCTTCCGTAAGGCTGAGTATCAGTCTATGGAAGGTGCGATGGATGTTTGCAGTGGAGATGTACGCGCGGGTTCGCCGGGCCTGCATGGTGGAAGGGATGAGCGTTCGGGAAGCCTCCCGGGTGTTTCGGCCTGCACCGGGACACGGTGCGCAAGATGCTGGCCTACTCGGTACCGCCAGGGTACCGACGCCAGGACCCACCCCGCCGGCCCAAGCTTGAGCCCTTCACCGGGGTAATTGACGCCATCCTGGAAGCTGACCGCCAGGTCCCCAGGAAGCAGCGCCACACGGCCAAGCGGATCTTTGAGCGGCTGCGGGATGAGCACGGGTTCGACGGCGGATACACGACGGTCAAGGACTACGTCAGGGAGCACCGGCGGCGGACCCAGGAGATGTTCGTGCCCCTTGTCCCACCCGCCGGGCCACGCCCAGTGCGACTTCGGGGAGGCAGTGGCGGTCATCGCCGGGGTGGAGCGGAAGGTGCACTACCTGGTGCTGGACCTGCCCCACAGCGACGGCTGCTTCATGAAGGCCTATCCGTCGGAGACCACCGAGGCCTTTCCTGGACGGCCACGTCTCGGCCTTCGCCTTCCTGGGCGGCGTGCCCCAGAGCATCCTGTACGACAACACCAAGCTGGCGGTGGCCCGGATTCTGGGCGACGGCCGAAGACAGCGCACCCGTTCCTTCACCGAGCTGCAGTCCCACTACCTGTTCGAGGACCGGTTCGGGAGACCTGGCAAGGGCAATGACAAGGGGAAGGTGGAGGGGATGGTGGGCTACGTGCGGCGCAACTTCCTGGTACCCGGTGCCGTCCTTCCAGAGCTTTGACGCCTTGAATGCCCACCTGGAGCAGAAGTGTCTGGGTCGGATGGACGCCAGGCTCAGGGGCCACGATGAGACCATCGGCCAGCGGATGGAG